GGAGGCCCCGCCTGTGATGAGGATGGTGGATCCGGATATCTGGGATGGGTCGAACGATGTGGTGAGGTCGATGGGTGCGGATTGGATGGCGTCGAAGGGGGTGTTGGCTGGATTCGCCATGCTGTTTTTGAAGCTACGGATTGTGCAGTGGCAGTGGCAGTAGGTGCTCGCGTTACGTGAGAAGCATAGAAAGTAGCGCTTGAGGGTGCCTCATCAATGTAGTGGTAGTGACAGTGACAGTGACAGTGACAGGGGTCTACGTGAAGGCAGAGGGCTGTCAACAGAAACAACAGGCGTCGGAATATTGCTTGTCGGATTATCTGGCTATTGCCTCCACATCTTTGGCGACGAAGGCACTCTAGAATCAGTCTGAAGAGGGTTGATCTAGTATATGTATATACATAGGTGTCGCCAATGATTGATGAGACTTTGGCACGAAATGAAGTTGGCTTTTATGGCGTGAAGAAATAGAACTACTAGTAGTTAGCGAATACGAGCGGAACCGCTCAACTGCCAAGACGCGGGCTCTGGCACTTGGCTCTTGGCACTTGGCTCTTGACTGCCCTGCTTTACGGAGTACTACTTTAGTAATAGTAGCTAAGCGGAACTTATCTGGCAGATTATGTTTTCCGGCTTGAAAGCCGTGATAGCTTCGCAGACATCACTGATACAGAGACAGATCAAAACCTAACATTGAGTGCTCACACCTTTCAAACCGCGGAAGCTCCATACAAGCAGAATAGTCATCATCCCTGCTCCACCGTTTCTACCAAGCACATCAATGTCCTCCAAAGCAGCTCATCGAACCTTCCACAAACCATAATCATAATCTTCCTCACGCTGACATGCAGCGCCGCCTGAACAACGATTGCCCTCTTCCGCAGCGCCTGTGCCGGTACATGTACTGACGTAACATCAGCCAAGTGGATCCCAAGCGTCGTCCCAGTTTTCGTGGTGATGTTGTTGGGTAATTGGTTAGAAGTCGCGGCGAGACTGGCAATTGAAATAGACTGTTCTGCATCTGGACTCAATCTTGTCAGGTAGGATTGTGCAATAAGCGTAGCGGCGAGAGCGGAGAGGTGTTGGGCGTGGACCGCGGGAAAGATTTTGCTAAGGCAACTCATGTGTACTTCGTCGAGTGACTGAGGGTGCCGGATCTGAAGTACAACTGGGGTGTCGAGCTGAAGAAGGCCCGAAGGATATTCATTTACAGATCGCTCAAGGTCGTCGAGGATCCTGGCAATATCTTCACATTTAGCCCAGGCTTCGCATTCTGGGTGTACTACCTGCTGAGCTCCACCGGCTGAGCGGGACAGACTCTCAGAAGGACTCTTTACCGATGCCAAGGTTGACGTGCTGAAGGAGGGAGATACGGAGATGGGAGACATGCGGAGGGCTGCGCTCAGAGAAGATTTCCGTGGTGGTAACACTGTGCTTCTGCTGGGCGTGGACTGTTTGAACGGGCAATTGAGATTCCCATAGCTGGCTATCTTGGCGAATGGGCTACTTGTGTCTCCACAGTATTGTGCGCTAGACTGACGCTCTGTAGGTGAATCCCAAGGGCTGAATGCTGAGATTTCGAAGAGCTTCCTTTCCGGTGTTCCTGGCACATGTTGGGACTCGCCCGGACTGGAACGATTGGTTGACCGTGACTTCATTGGACTCGGCCGGGGCACCCAAATGTCACTCGCCTTGCCAGGGTTAATGACTGTAGCATAACACTAGTTAATGGTGAGCAAGTCCCAGATACAAAACCGCTGCTGGGTAGCTTACTGCCTTCCGTACCCCTGGGCAAGATGTAGTAGGCCAGTCGTCGATAGGACCTGGAACAATTTGACAACATCGTCTTGACTTCTCAGCAAGCCGCGTCTCACTCGTCTTGATTCTCTCAAGCTGGCCAAAGCAGGTCGAACTGTCCTGACTGGAGTAACTCTTAGATAGCCATGTTGCTTCACTGGACAAGCTAGCGGATCGCTCTCTTTTGGGAGATCTCAAAGTGGCAGACATGTTTGACGTGGGCGGAGTTCGCATGAAAATGGATGTATAAGAGTCCACGGGCTGCTTGGGAGGGGTTGTGGCAGGACACCGTTGTCGTTCAAGTCCACCAACCAAAGGACTTCTGAAACGTGAGGCGCGTTCACGGAAATTGTCTTCGCAGTAGCCCATGACAATGCCCTCGAACTCATACGAGCTTTCCACAAAGGTGGTTGGATTGGGTCCGGCCTCTTTCGGGTTTCGGAAGGCAAAGCAGCCATTATAATTATCATCACCCTCCGAGGGCAGAGGACTGGGCAGCAACTCGGGTGTTTTCAGGGATGGCTTTAGCAACTCTGAGCAGACTTGATCCTTAGATCCAGCGGCTTTCAAGTCACGATAGCTTTGGGGCATTCTCCTGAGTTCCTTTGACTTCGGCCTTGACAGCAATTCTTCCTGGACATTGATCATTGGGGGACCGGGCGGAACAGGTGCGAATGGCTGCTGTATTTCATCCGTGGTACGGGAGGATGCTAGGATAGCCTCCTCGTGCTCTGGGCACTTTTCCGCACTACGGAAGCGACCATCAGTGTGCAGAGCCGTTTCTGCCACTGGACGTCTGGATGATTCCACTGTAGAAGTCCTTGTCAAGATCCTCAGCATACGAAAACGAGAAGCTTGACGTTTCAGAATTTTGGGAATTCCCTGAAGTGAGGTTGGTGGGCTAGGAGGAAAATGAGAAAGTTTCCGAAATGGTGTCGCCAACGAGAAACCCATATCGGAGTATGGAACTGAAGACATGTGGAAAGACGAAACAGAGAAATACTGATGTAAGTGGTCCGGGAAATGATCACGCAGACCAGGCGCTGAGACATACAGTCGTAGAAAAGAGACTCCTTTGGTAGTGACTCACCGATAGAGAGCAAATGGTGTCCGAGAACATGACTTTATTGGGTTGCATCTTATCACTTATCCCTTCGTACCACGCGCAAGAGCTGCCTTGCATAGGAAGGGTGCTAGAAACTTGCCAATTCCAGGTCATAATCAGAATTTTTCCTGCGAGAAGTTGGGAGCACAAGTAGACCGCAAAGAGAAGCAGGCTGTTGAGGTGGGACAAATTACGAGAGGAGAAAAGGGGGAAGGGATGAACAAAGGGTTGTGCTTCTACCCTCCCCTTGCATCGGACCCAGATGAATTGCCGTCCATGCTCACAGGTGGCGTCCCTCTCGAGGTGAAACAGGCTGAGAACGAAAACGTGCTTCGATGGCGTGACAGCGCCTAAAGAGTGTGTCTTGATGGTTGTTTTGGAGGTGGTTGAGTCGTTGACTGTCCAGCCATGTTGGATGATGCCAAGAAAATGACATGGACTTCAGTGTCCGTGTGCTGCTAACTCCTTTCAGCTTAGCGTCATCTCCCCCTTTTCTTCTCGTCTCGAAGCTGAAATCATATCCAAATCCATGTCCATATCCATCTCCAGATCCATTTCCTTTCATTCTTGTGATCCATGCTCCCTATACGACATCCCTCTCACAACTCCCTCTCCAGATGTATTGCGCTCTCGGCAATCCTGTCAAGCCGGCGATGGTTCTCCAGGGCGTGTTCGAATGTTGGATATTCTCTACCTGATGCAAACGCTTCATAGACTCGGCCAATCATTCTTGATGGTGTCTTGATGTCTTCCAGCTCCATATCTGCCACGTCAATCGTTTCTACTTTTTCCGTTGCATAATCAAATTGTTTGATGGCCAACATGTCTTTCTCGTAACTCCATTGGACTGAGGGGCCCGGAGCCTCCAAAGAAACTTCCCCTCTTTCAAAAAATATCTTCCACGTCATGTGAGGAGGTTTCCCTGCTCGCAGCTGGATTGGGTTAGAGTCTCTTCGTTTGACAGCTTGATGGGTAGTCCTCACCGATATTGATGTTACCGCCCCAGACTTAAGCTTCCCTTGCACCAGGATATGATCGGCAATGTCCTTGTGGACAGTCTCCACCTTCTTCCCATCCGACACAAGATCGATAAATGGTCGTTGGTTGGCTAGAATCCCTTGTGAATGTTCGAAGTCTCCCAGCACGTCAACGAAACTATCGACAACTGGCCGCAGACGTTAATCGTTTGGATCTGAGAGGGTGGATGAGGGTACTGACAATGCCCGAAGAGGATAGTATAGTTGTTGCCTCCATTTTTCGCCTCGGTGAAGTACTTCATCTTGACGGGAATTTCATGGTCGAAGAACCCCGATTCTGTCACCACCGTTGAGCTGAGCACTTTGCCCAGCTTGCCACTGGCAACAATCTCCTTGAGCGTCCGGGTGATATTGGTCTGCCGACCTTGTAAACCAACCAGCGTTTTCACATTCTTCCTTTTTGCAAGTTCGGTCAATTCTTCTGCTTGAGCTGTATTGCAGCCCAGCGGCCATTCGACGAAGGCTGTCTTGCCGGCTTCTAAGGCAGGCTTGACAAGCTCATAGTGCTTGGTAACAGTCACACTCACCACCACCATGTCGACATCGGGGTCAGCGGCTATGTCTTCTGGCGACCCATAGGCTTTGACATCGGCTGGCAGGTTATGTTCTTTGATGGCAGCTTCGGCAGCTGCAACACTGGAATTTGCCAGAGCAACGATCTTGTATTTGGACGTATGTGACAGATATGGCAGATGAGCTTGGTTGGCCCAAGCACCAGGAGTAGCTGTGAGGCCAATTAGACCAATTCTGATGGGTGCCATTCCTCTTGCGGTGCTGTGACGGTGATGGAATATCGAGTAGATGTCAATGATGTCGAGATTGAAGCGGACTGCTGCCCTGGATGTTTTTATACTCTCGCGTCCGGGAGTGCCGGCCGGATTACTAATCCATCTACCTGCTTGATATCACACTTCACCAGCGGTATGGCATGATGTCCCAATCCGGCCACTACGTCTGTGTTGTACAACCGCTATTCACTGTTCTACCAACCATTTGAACTACGCTGCACTCTGTCCCATCAGTATGAATTACCAAGCAAGCAAACTAGTGTCTGACAAATTCACCGCATCACCGTATCAATGACACCTTTTTCGGCCGAAGCGCCGGACCAGCATCCTCCACCATAGCATACTTCTCATCTACCCTTGTCATAGGCATTATGCACAGATCCTTAAGCCCAATCCCAACCCGCCCATCCGCCGCACCCGCATGGTCTGCATACCCGATACCCGATACCCAAATCACCACCCTCCGACCTCCCGGCGGGGAACATCTTTATCCACTCTAGCAATCTTACAGAGCCCAGCACCTGTAGCCAACTCTGTGATCAGTCACTCTGGCTCACCTACTCCACAGATACCACCTTCAGGCTCAAGATCCTCATCGCCGAAAACCACGACATCGCCCTTGACGCCCTTTTCCATGGCCAATATGGATCCAATTTCCACAACCAAAACGCGCCACGACGTGGAGGTGCGTCACAAACTCTCCACCAGTAAACCCGGCATTGTGCATCTGAATGATCCAGCAAGAAGCCCTGGACTTCCCCAGCGGCAGCTGCACTCTCTCACAACCTAAGTCCTCCCCCCGGCCCTACTCTCCCCAGCCGCGAACTCTGGACCGAGGTCTATTGACAGATTTCGTGGCCCTCTGCTTGCAATACTCGGGGAGCAAGATGGCCACGATATCTCTCACCGAACCTCTAGCCTCCGGCTGAGTACGCCCCCAAGGACGCGGCCAACGTCTGGTCGAGAAAGTGCTAAGATGCAGATATCGTGATCAAGCAAACGCCATCGAAGCTCCACTGTGATGCATCCGTGAGTAGTTGTTAGGAGCGCGGCTGAGTGCAAGGAACTACAGCGAACATGATGGCGTGTTTTGCCGGGTGGCGATTTATGGCCTTAAGAGCGGAGGACGGTGGGTTGAAATGTGTGCTGTAAGACCTCGAGGATCGGAATGTGAAAGTCGGGGAAAACTGAGACGCTCTATCGAACCCAATTGATGGGCCGGGGGGTTCGAGGAAGACGGAATGTGTTGTTGACCTGACCAAGTGCTCTGTCATGCCGTGGTAGAATCATGGGAGTGCCAGGGAGGAACCAACTTTGTCTCGGTACTGATAATGGAGTATGCGAGAGGAAAGAAAGCGTCCTCCACACGATAAAGAGGTTGGTATATTTGTTAGAATAGAACAAGGGAACCGTGTCCCAGCTCCGGGGGTCCACGCTGAGTTTCTGTTGATTCCCAACGACATGCTAATTTGCCTAGCAATGAACAAATCCCTCGATAAGATAACCATCCCTAACCTCCAGTCTTGTGGAGCGAACCTCGCCAACATCGAGTGCCGCCAAAAGAGGCAACGGACCAACACAATGTTTCGCCCACATACCGCATCTCCTCCCATAAGCTCAAATCCAACCCACTAAATAACATCGCTTCGTTTCCCAAACCGCGAGAAGGTAATCAAAACAATGCATGACCAGACCGAGGTCTGAGTCAGGGACTGTGCAGCTCCATCCATCAGCCATACCTCTATGCAGATGATCAAGGGAAGCGGAAGCGGAAGCGGAAACGAAGACGGAAAATGCTTACCCCCCTGTTTGTGTCAAGGACACGTGATGACCAGCTCTCCCCCTTTGGCCAATCATGATACGCTTCACCGTCAAATATTCATATGATGCTTTTTGAACAGGAGCCTCCCCGCTCTGCCCACCAGTCGCGATGACAAGTCACGGCACCGACTGGTTCGGGGGTGGAGGGCTTCTTCAATCATACACATAGAATGTTAAAAGGTGGAGGAGCGCTATAGATGCAGGAAGATCACTTCGTGTTGCTTTTGTCGTTAGCTGCGCTTCAGAACACGTCGAGGTTGCTGGTTGTGGACGGATCAGATATGAAGGAGGGGAGGGGTTGAGTTGTTTGGGAGAGAGGAATTTGAGGACGGAACGGATGAGGAACGTTTTCCGGATTATCGGAGTTTAAAGTGATGTGGGCGATGCTAATCAGGAGACATATGATGATGAGGAGGAGCAGGGATTTCTCAGCTGATTTCAAAAGGCTTGACTCTTGAGAATCGATGGCACACAACTTGAAGGGCACTATCGTTCTGGGAATATCGAATTCTCAACAAGAGCTCGCTCCAAGGAATGAAAAAAGATCATCTTTATGTCTTATTGTAGGTCGTGTTCTTCTTGTCCTCTCTATTTCATATTTCCAAGCCCCATTTCAGCAGCAGTGAAGGCATTGACGTACAGAATGACAAGGGTAAATTGCCACTTCCGCACGCGGTCAATCAGAGATGAAAAGAGCACAAACAACTACTACCCTTTTGCTCCACCACAGCTGATGTTGATACAACTCACCGTGAAAGCTACCGACACCTCCTTCACGGACGCGCAGCTAGAGAGCCATCTCCTATCTCTGTGGGAACAAGACACTGGAGAGGGCAAATATATGGCATATGTTTACCCACAAATCCATACACAGAGGGAAAGCGAAGAAATGAACACCCAAAAGCCAGAGCCTTTGATTCTCCTTCGGCTCCCTCAAAACATAGACGATTTATTCTAGAGATCTTGGAGCTGGATTTGCTCGCACGAACGAAGGGTACAAGCCTAAAAAGGGCGAGCCTACATGGCTTCTCAAAGAGATTTTGGGACAACTGGTGTCATGATCAAGGCACTATCAATTTTGGTCTTTACACGTTTTTGGGGTAAAGATACGAATAACATCTGGAGCCTTCTTCTAGAGTGAGTCTTTGTTTGTTCGTCTTTATACATACATGTCAAACAAAAGCTAGTAAACGGTCCTCTGAGGGCCGCGGTCCTTTTGGTCCAACAATACATCTTGATGAATGATTGCTTTTTCTGTAGAGAAGAGTACGATGACTATCCATCTATCCTCCCACTGCGTGCTGTTGCTAAATCAGAGGATGCAAACAATCCGGGTAAATCTGGCGGACTGGAGACAAGTTGTTGTAAGAGAGAGGCAATTCTATACGAAATCCGTGGCCAGGATAACCTTGAATTCTTTATGGACCAAAATAGACCTCGCAGTACTTGAGGTAATAACAAGTTCATCGAAAACTGAATTTTCCTGTTTCTCTCTACGAATGATCAGCAACTAGGAAGTTGAAAAGAACAAAAGAGGCAAAAAGTTGCCTCCCCGACAGGGAATCGAACCCTTTAATATATTTAGCTATATTTATGATGAACCTGACTTGAAATTGCTTACCTGGTCTCCCGCGGTTGAACATTGACAAGCGGGGATCTTGACCACTGGACCATCGAGGATTTACATTCAACTTTGTTTCTCTGTAAATTATGTACATAGCTCTACATTATTTGATAGATGCCATTTTTGGACCTCATCGCTTCAATCACAAAAACTGCAATAGATACTACAGTTTAATATTAGAAATTAATCAATATTATTCATTTTGGTATCATAATATAATCGATTAGACGGCAGATATCTCATGAGACTAAAACCGCTAAATAGTACCAGGACAGAGGATGAGCAAGAGGGTAAGTAACAGAAGCAGTGGCGGTGCACCCTGAACAGAGACTGAGCCGAAGTTAAGTGGAGTGACTAATTTCTGAGTAAGGATTGCAAACCTAGTCAAGCCAATTGGGTGTCAAGACGTGCGGTCAAGATTCAGGTACTAATACCGCAATACTCATCCCCGAATCATGTATTTTTGGTATCTGTATTTTGCGCTATTTCGCTTGATATAGCAGCTTTGTACGTATAGATACACTCTCTTTGCGCACTGAATTAGATAGAACAACTTGCTATTTTACACACTATCCATTGATTAGTCACCACAGTTCATCATTTGGCTCCAAAGATGAAAAGTCCAATATGCTCCGATCTTGATCAGCAGCCTCTTTGCGATCTGAAGACTCAACGTGACGACGCGTTGGGAAAACGAGGACGACGCGTTGAGAAAAAGTGACGATGCGTTTGGGAACCGCGATGTGAAGAGTACGCGGAGTCGACGAAAGAGCCTTTGCGTTTCAAAGATCTGGACTGGCCTGGTGAGTCCAGATCGCGAAGAACGCGAGCTTGAGGGGATATTTCCTCCGGCGCATACGCGGAGTAAATGGATGACTCTCTTCTGATGGGTGTGAATAAATCTGGGCCGATAGGAGCTATTCTTTCTGGCGTTATGTCCCGTAGATGTTGTGGAACTAACTCGGTTTCGCCCGGCCTTCCGAGGAGATCACGAAGCCAAACGGCAGTGGCATTAAATTTTCGCTCTATGTCCGTGAGGATCGCATGCATGGGTACGACTATGCCTTCTCCAAATAGGTCCACAGCGACGACATGCCCATAGACCTTGTAGTTCTGACAATCAAAAACCCAGGAACCGCTATCGCCAGCTTTCAACCCTATTAAAAGAAATCAGCAAGAACAGAGGAGAGAATACCAAGAAGTCGCATAATTCACCTGATTTAGGTCCTAAGGTAAGCGTATATGTCTCGGTGAACGCGTTGCCCGGAGATATCATGATAAATGACCAAGCCCTCGACAGTACGCCCCAGCTTGGGCTGGGCGACGTTCTTATGACGCCAACAGGCCTTTCCCCGTCAATCTGAAGGATTTTCTGTTCCACAACTTGGGTCAATTGTAACGGAAAAGGAGTCGAGTCACCACGCCCGTCGATTAGACAATTTCCAATATCTCGTTGGGCTTCATTAAGTTCGATCAAAGCCCAATCTCTGTTGCAGTCTTCTTCCATAGATGGCTTGCTTTGGCTTGAATGAGCAACAATACGTCCAATATTCGTCAACATAGATGGCTTGCTTTGGCCTGAATGAGCAACAGTACGTCCAATATTCATCAAATAGCTCGGGTTGTGTTCACCTGACTGCTCTTCTCGTCCCTGAGAGGCCGAATCGTTACTGGGCGACATCGAACCATAGCCGAACTCAATCTCAAATTCTTCCTCGTTGCTGTCCGAAAACGGATGGTCCAAATGCGGACGGTCTGGGGGTTCAAGGTTACTTTCCTGGGCGGCGTAAGATTCAGCTTGCGAGTCATCGGTGTCCAATCCGTCTTCCTTTACACTCTTGATTTCAAGTTCATTCTCCAATGCACCCAACATTGAGTCACCAGGTAGAATATGGCCAGCCGTAAGCCATAGCGCTTGATTTCCCCCGTTTTGCTAAGCACCTCAATGATGCCTCCGAGGGTTGCGGTACGCGCTTTCTCGCCCACTGCCGCTTTTATCGCCATTCCACAGGCACTTCGCGCGAAGAGACCTTTAATGTAGTCCCGGTCGTGAGCGAAGACTTCGATGTCAATGTCGGCGGTCAGCAGCCTTAGAGCTCGGTCACAAATGATTAGCTCGAATGCTGGCCATTCGCCGGTATTTGCTTGAAGCTCCTCTTTGATATCTGTTTGGCCAAAGAACTGCTTCACTGTCTTCAATGTTGCCTTTTCACAAGCGATAATGATCCATGGCTTCGCAGAGGCCTCATCTTCGCCCAAGACGCTGAGGCGCATCTGAATGGCAGTGAATGTGACCTTCTTTTTGGCCAAGAATTCATGCAACGTGCGCCCAAACAGTACCTTCAAATCCAGGAAACGAGTCTGCGTTGGTTGATCTATTGGTTTGTCGTATATTCGCAGCTTCTTGGGTTTTCTTGGGAAGCGTCTTCTAGATGGATATTCTATACTCTCTTTGCCAGCCAACGTTCCCTGGCTCGGATTGTTCGGAGAGCTGACCTGTGAAGAGTAACCCGAGTCTGGCGCCGTCGATGATTTACACCGCGATTTGGGGTTCTGCTTCGTAGGCGGCTCGTTGGAGTACTGTGCCATTTGGGAAGATGCAGCCGCAATGCTATCGGATAATGCAGCACGCCATTCCTCATCAACAGCTCTCTCAGCTACAGAGTCCTCCACAGGGCGCCGGCCGACTACGCTGCAAGCATTCGAAGTGGTTACCATTTGAGGGGTCATGCTTTCCATGAAGCCGAGGATAACTGTATGGGTAGACTCTCAACAAAAGTAAGAGAATGGATAAGTGCGAGAATACTTGAAAATGGTGATGCAAGGAGGCTGCGTCGATTGTTGGCTCAGCCATCGCCCTTGGAATTGTCCCCTGTAAAAAGCCTGCGGCAGATACTTAAGTTGGTGATTGCGTGGCTGCCAAAGTCCAAGGTGTGGCTTGGACAATTGGAAGCTCTCTTGTATCCAATCAGAGGATGTTGCATTGTGCACACCAATGTGCTTACAATTCTAAGCGGTAGGGGGCTGAGTCCTGCAGAAGCGAATTAGAACAGCTTAATAGTGGGCTTAGATGACCTGGTGGACGCCACGACTCTCAATACGGCACACAAATCGTTGGGGACTCATTCTGCAATACTTCTCTCTCCTCTTCCCATGCAGCCTCTCACCCAGATTTCTGGAGCATGGCGCTTTCCAGACACGCTGGCCCAGCGATGTTACACTCTCTCAATTCATTGCAAATGCTTTCCCGATGACAGATCATCCCAGCCTAAACGACGAGGAAGGCATTGCCGTAGGCCAGGGCCTGAAGTCAGCTCTGACTGCAAATAAACTGAGAAAGCGAGCGAGGCTGACCTTCCGACCAACGGATGACTTACGTAGTCATCTCAGACTCGACCGCAAACTTCACGTTGTGGAGATATTTCACCATACTGCTTTCTTAAAAGAGCATTTGAGACTAACAAAGGACCGGGCCAGAGTGAGCTCGGTGGCTGAACACCTACAACTGTGAGTAATACACTTTGCTCCACTGTCCAGCATTGGACTCGAGGCTCTCAATGTCAAATATGACTAACAGATATCAGCGGCGCACTCCCGCGACCGCTTGCTCTCGAGGTTCTAGACTCAATTCAAAAAATCATATTTCCCCACTCAGACCCAAAATCCCGGGCCATGCTCCGGTCGCTGGTCTCTAGGAGCAATTTTGATCCCGATTGCCTGCGCTTTGAATTTAACTCGATCCGTAATTCGGACGAGGAGGATGTCGCATATCACTACTTTGGGTCTCGTATGGTGGATCTCTACGAAGAGCTCCAGAATCCTGCACCTTATGGACTGATTGAAAAATGGTTGGAAAGAAAGAGCGGAGCCCGATATGTCCTGCTCGCAACTTTAATTGGGGTTCTCATCGCTGTACTGCTGGGCATTTTGGCACTCGCGGTTTCAATCTATCAGGCATATATTGCATATCAAGCCTGGCAACATCCAGTTGGAAATGACGGCCCGGTTTCGATAAGTGTCCTTGCGAGACGGGGCTGATTTTGACCATCTCTGTGGCAGATTACAAAACAACTTTGACAGGCCGCATAGGCGGCCCATGCCTTCGCGTTCAGCCAACAAAAAGTTTGAAGGGACGATCGATGAGGATGAGGTATGGTTCACTAAGAGCAGCAAGTGGCTCAGAAGTGGGAACATGTGTGGGTGCAGCGAAGACTGAGCGGCACTGGAGAAGAGGTGAGCAAGAGGGTGAGCAGAGGAAGCAGTGGCGGAGCCGAAGTTGAGCCGGGTGACAGATCCCTTTAGTCAGGCAGCAGAAACGACCAACCACACTGGTGCCAAGGCGCGGTCAAGATTCGGTGCAGAATACCGAAACAACAACCTGACATATCACAGTAAGAAGAGAAAATCCGGTTCTTTGCGAAATTGAATGCATTCTACTTATCTTCACCTCCACCGTGTGAAACAGATCAAACCAGAAAATGGCTATCTCATGGATTAGGTGCTGAAGATACTTCTACTCTACCCTCACGATGCACACAGCGTGCATGCTCATCGCGGTGAGATGGAGAGATGAAAGTGAGCTGACATCCCGGCGTTGGACAAGGATAGTTGACTGTTCGGGCTTGGCTGCGACAATACCGTGCTTCTCGAGTTCGTGCCTTCGGCGATCAGAATTTGATATGTAGCTTATGTCGCATCCAGGTGCTTGGCATGAGTAGCGAATTCCAAGGTGCTTGGTCCGGATGTGCTTTCGGATAGTGCTATAGGCGTTTTTATGGACTCTGATCTTCCAGGGGCACCCTGGGTGAGTGCAGTAGTGGAAAGAGCCATCAGAAGTGGTAGATAGTTTTTTTATTCCGACGGCATCTTCCGTTGTTGCAGCGGTAGAATGAATAGGGTCGACCGCTGTGGCATCTTCTCCAAGGTTTGCTGCTGGTTTATATCCAACATCAAGCGCATTCTCTATGTTGATTTCTTGGTAGCATTCCTTGTTGAGGCCATCATTGTCATTGGAAACTGCTTCACTGATATCCTTCATATCAACGTCCGTCGAATTGTGTCCGCCAATCTTTGTTAGGTCTTCTTCTGGATCAAGCTCAGCTTGTTCATTCGTTTCCGACTCGGAGGGTTGACAGGCTGCAGAGTTACCGTGCTTAGAGATTTCATGAAGTTGCCGACTTGGACCTGTCCTGAAGGCTTCGGGACATCCCTTTCTGCAAGGAAAGAGTCTCTTCCCATGGTCCGTTATCATATGGTTTTGGAGGATGTAAGTGGACCCAATGTAGAGTTCGGTCTTCCAGTCACAACCTGGATGATTACAGAATCGATAGTTGTCCTTGACTGTGCCCAACCGGAGGCTCGGAGTTTTGCGTTTGACTTCGGGCTGCGGTAGGCTGTCGTGTATGATCCTAAGATCCATTGAATTAGCTTGCTTGCTATCAGAGTTATTGACTGGATCAAGCTCACCATGACTTTGCATGACTGCCCAGTAGATCTTCTGCTTGTCAAGGTCGTCGTCAAAGAACAATGAAGAGTCCTCGTGCTCGATGATTTCTGCCTTGATTCGAGTCTTCACTTCGTTGTGGAGTCGCTGAAGTTTGGCGAAAGCTTGCCGTCGCTTTACGTGGAGAGCCCAAGTTGGTGATTTGTTGTGGTCATCCACGGTTCGACGGTATTCCTCGACGATTGCGGAGACTCTCGGATCGTTCTGCGGATCGAAGGCTTTGCTTACTGTAGAAACAATGTAATTGAAAGCATAACTGTGAGCCATGATGGTGATAGAGCTGTCCTGCAGCACTAACCCGTAGAATTGGGATATTAGAGGTTCTTCTTGGCGAGGATGAGACAACCAAAACAGAAAATCAAATTGTGCAGCGCTGAGTGTATCTATTATGCTATGTACCGAGACAAAGGGCTATTCGGGGTAAAGCTAATTCCAACAATAGCACAAAGCAGAGAAGATGGCAAGACTAGGTTCGACAACGTAGCCATCAAAGAGCCAATGTTCCGAGACAAAGCAGAGACAGTAGGAAGTCTTTGTTAGTTTCTATTCCACAATCGGAACAAAGAAAGTCAACAATAGGATGGTATAGGAAGCAGATACTACACCCAGACCAACACCATGAAGCTTAGACAGTCAGAGCAGTTCACAATCTGAAAGGATTAGGAAGCGATCATTGCACTCCTTACCAATGAAATACAGTTTTGTAACCTGCTATTTTGGCTCTGCCAGAATTTACCTTCCATTAAATAAGCAGCAAACTTATGATTTGCAAGATTTCACAAACTTTATCTTGATGTTAATATTAAAATTCCGGTCCTATGAAAGGAGGGATGGTAAACCGGAGTAAACTGGGATCGAGTCTCGTGCTCGTAGAAAAGAGGGAGTATGATCCTTGGCGTCAAGTCTGAATCTAGGCTGCCAGTGATGATCTGCCTCGCTGGGATGGTGACAGTGTTTGACCTGCGTAGAAAGCATGTTGCGTATCTTTTAAGGAGCAGCGTGCGTAAATATACTTACAAAATTGGCTGTACTCCGTAACGTAGCTGACCCCCTCGTGCAGCATACCCCATCGTGCAGCACCAAATTGCTTGGCACAACCCTCGCCAGCGCTGTTACAGCGAATTCAGCTCACTATTAACATTTTTGAAGTCATACAGACTGCCTAAATAGGAAATAGAATAGAGATCTATGGTGTTGTTCCCTATTCGAATACATCCTCCTCGATCCATAGTAGATAATTGCATTTTGCCCTGGATCTCGGAGGCAGCCGTCTCTTCTCTTCTAACCCCCCTGCGGCTCTTGCTAATTGACGTAAAGCCTTATTTCGCTGCTGTTCAGCTTTTCTAATAGCTGCAGCAGCCTTTTTCTCAAGCGCTTGAGCCTTTTTCGCCTCCTTTTGTGCCTCCTTTTCTGCTGCTTGTGCCCTGAGCTCCTCCGCATTTTTCTTAGATAAGCATCTACCCTCTATAGATAGCTGTTTGTTTGCTCTTTTGCTTATACAAGCATTCGCAACTAACTCAGCGTTAGTTTTAAGCAAAATAGCGTTTTCAGCGTCAAGAGCACTAATTTTATTAAGTAGAATTCGCTTATTAGGTACATCCTCTACTAACGTTTTGATAAATTGCTAACATTAATATATAGTGCTAATCTCTTGTTTTGTTTACTCTAATACTTTGTTTAAATCTGAATTAGAAGAGGTACTTGATTATATATAAGCTATTTTGTTATAAATATATTGCAGATCACACAGAATAAGACCTGTTGCTTTAAATTCTGTATTAATATTCTCTGAATTAAGAGCTATTGCTTTAGCTCTTTAATAAAAATATAAAAAATTAGTTTTTTTAATATATGTGCTGTTAAATTGACTATAAGCTTTAACTTTAGCTAAATACTAATATTATAAAGGACTAAAACAGGCTATATCTAATAGCTAAAAATAATAAGTAATATAAAAGAGTAAAATAAGTAGAATAATATTATGTAAATTGCTAAATTTAATGAAATTAATTATATAATAAGATTTATAGCTATTAATAATAAGCAGGCATTTTATAGTCGAATTAATTAGCTTTGTAAAAGAATTAAAATGCTTTATGTTATAGCACGTAAACACGCTAAGCACAGACAGGCACTAAGGGATTGCCTGGCGCTCTGTAAAGAAGCTATGACAGGCTTGGACAAGTCTACCGGACCCTAAACTGCCTATAAGGTCGGTAGCTCCCGATGTAGTGTTCAGAGGTGCTCATCTATAAGCACTTGGGAACAATGCTTAAAGACGTCTCCGCATGAGCAATGCTCTAGGACGTCTCCGCATGAGCAATGCTACAAGGTGTTCCGTTGTGAGCACTTAAGAGCACAAGTTTCCTACTCTATATAAGCACGCTCATTTCCTAGATAGTTTTATAGTCTTCATAGTCAACTCATGTTATCAGCTTATACCTAAGTTGAAGACATCTTAGTATTGTTTACTGCACTTCCTGTTCTACCTAACTAACCCTTTAGACCCAGCTTCTAGTTAAGACTTGTCTTAACTAGTTAAGCCTTAACACTTTAACTACTACTCTTGAGAACACTAAGTATAGTTAAACAGATATTATACATGTCACCTAAGGCATATACTATGTTAGTAGCCTCAGGACCTACCGCCACTATTAAGGGCTAAGGAAGGAACGTACAGTTCAAGGTTACATTACCAGATCTCTTTTATAGAGACTAAAAGAGACTTCAAGAATTCTTAAACTAACTAAGAATCAACTTCTTATTTTATGTATAAGCAGTAGATACAAATAAAAAGAAAGTATTATATATAGCTACCTTTTTTTAAGGGGCTGTACATGACTAGTTTGAACCCTACCTTAAGGACAAGCTTAAGGAAGCATTAGAGGATCAAGAACTAGATACGTAATAAATCTTCTACAGTTTTACTAATTTTGTAGTCAAGATCAAACAAGTGTATAAGGATGTAGATACAGTCAAGGAAGCCAAACGAGACCTACTGCGTATAAGGCAGAAGGGATCTGCTGTAAACTACGCTTTCAAGTTTCACTAGATCGCCTCACGAGTCGACTAGGAGGATGCCGCACTAGCAGCTATCTTTTACGAAGGACTAAAGGATTTAGTAAAAGATGATCTATCTAAGATTGACCGACTGAGCGAATTGTCACCTTTGATCGAAATAGCAATCAAAATAGATAACCGGAATTATAAAAGACAACTTGAAAAAGGCTAGAAGAAAAACTATATCACATTTCTAGTACGATACTAAGCTAACACACAACGTCCAAAACATAGAACCCCAGGGCATTACTCTACAGGACGAAGTATACTAATAGATCTAGACGCAACTAAGAAAGGGAAAAGACCAGGACCACTTAAGAAACGTTAGGATAAAAAGAGCAAGTAAAGAGTTTCTGGAGAATAATAGACAGAGCGACGCAAAAAAGGATTATGCCTAATGTACAGAAAGCCTAGCCACTACGCTGAAGGAATTCTAGAAGAAGATAGTCATAAGCCCTAAATAAAGAACTAGGCAGACAAGAAATCTATAGGCAAGAAGGGCGACCTTAAGGAAATATTACAGGGATAGCTAAGGAGAAGCACGCCTAAAACACTATATAATTTATTATTTTGGACTACTTATTATAATAATAACTACGTTATATATTTAAGTAATAAGGATAATATAGAGTAGTACTTACAGAAACCAAGATTATATTAGTTACTTAATACTCTTTTTATATATAATAATAATAAACTAGAGTATAAAGCAAATAATAATAATAAAGAACTAAGATCTAAAGTTATAAAGAGCTATATAAAGGTCTTAGAAATTAAGAAATTAGATTATATCTAATTATTAATAAATCTATAAATAAGAATTAAATACTTTAATTAAGACTATAGACTAGCAACAGAACACAAATATATTATATATAATCCGGACGTAATACCTAAGGAACAAGAGAAAGCATTTATAATCAAGTTTTATAAGAAGAAAGAATGCCCGAACTATAACAAAAGCGAATTTCACGCACATTAAGGGTTAGATAGGCAAGACCTTTAAGACAGCATTACACTAAATGAACTCGAACATAAGTAGGAGACTATCACCTAGAGCCTAATATAGGAAGAAATCGAAAATAATGAGGACGTTAAGGAATTCAATTTAAGGAGGGCAGAACCTGCTAAAGTCAAGAAACCTTTTGTTACAGTTTTAGATTACTGTACTTGGCAAGAACCTTATAGACATTTTTCATGCTTGAATTAGTTATGCCCCTATTATAAAGAGTATAAGGGACATATATATTTCAGGAATTATACTAAGGAAGAAAGAGAAAGTTCAAACATTTACCTAGTAGTAAATATTAAGGAGGTATAAACTCCTTATTACAAGATACTTAGATATTAGATCACAGGAATATATACTTATAAGGCACTAGAAGAGTCAAAAAACTAGAAAGTCCTTTAAAAAGACGACTTAAAGGATGTGAAAAAAGGTTATAAATAATTATAATGCTAGACGTACATTACTTATAATATATAATATTATACGTACTTTTAAATGACAAAAAGGCAAAGATTATAGTAGATTTAAGAGTTATAAGGAACTATATCTTATAAGAGTATATACTTTAGAATCAAACTCTTACTAAGGATAAAGAGAACCCTTATTAGCTAAGGCTAGCTAATAGATCACTTATTAAGAAAGGATAAGGACAGATTACTACAGAAATATAATTATTAAGATTACAGATTAAGGATTATTATAAAGAGATAGTAATAGATATTACTTAGATTAAACATAACGTTATATTAAGAAAACCCTAATTAATATATTATAATCTAGTTAGGTACTATAATTATGAGTATAGAATACCTAATACATAAGTATACTTTACTAAGGCTATATAAATATAACTTATAACCTTAGAAGCTTTAGACAGTCTTAATAACTGCCTACTCAAATATAAAGAATTTAAGGAATTATTTAAGGAAGATAAGAAAAGTATAGCCTTGCCTAAACATTAATCTTAGGACTATAAGATACCTTTAGAACCTAGAACTAAATTAGTATTTAAACTAATATATTGACTTTCAGAAAGAGAATTAAAGGAAATAAAGGAGTACTTAGATGAAAACCTAAAGAAAAGGTTTATTAGACCTTTAATATCTCTAGCTAGTTATCTAATACTGTTTGTACTAAAACCTAACGGAAAGTTAAGATTATATATAGACTATAAATAGCTAAATGCAATTATAATCAA